AAAGTCGCCAGTTCTCAGCTTCCAGCTCCACAGATTACTCCGCGTACTAAAGTTGTACTACAAAGTCGCCAGTTCTCATCTTCCAGCTCCCCAGATACTCCGCGTACTAAAGTTGTACTACAAAGTCGCCAGTTCTCAGCTTCCAGCTCCACAGATTGCTCCGCGTACTAAAGTTGTACTACAAAGTCGCCAGTTCTCATCTTCCAGCTCCCCAGATACTCCGCGTACTAAAGTTTTACTACAAAGTCGCCAGTTCTCATCTTCCAGCTCCCCAGATACTCCGCGTACTAAAGTTGTACTACAAAGTCGCCAGTTCTCATCTGCCAGCTCCCCAGATACTCCGCGTACTAAAGTTGTACTAGAAAGTCGCCAGTTCTCAGCTTCCAGCTCCACAGATTACTCCGCGTACTAAAGTTGTACTACAAAGTCGCCAGTTCTCAGCTTCCAGCTCCACAGATTGCTCCGCGTACTAAAGTTGCACTACAAAGTCGCCAGTTCTCATCTTCCAGCTCCCCAGATACTCCACGTACTAAAGTTGTACTACAAAGTCGCCAGTTCTCATCTTCCAGCTCCGCAGATACTCCGCGTACTAAAGTTGTACTACAAAGTCGCCAGAGGGTTGCGCGCACAGCCGGCAGATCGCACTCTCGCCTGTATTTCGCGCACTCGACACGCACGATCTCCGCAGAGGGTTGCGCGCGCAGCCGGCAAATCGCACTCTCGCCTGCATTTCGCGCACGCGACACGCACGATCTCCGCAGAGGGTTGCGCGGGCACCCGGCGAATCGCACTCTCGCCTGCATTTCGCGCACTCGACACGCACGATCTCCGCAGAGGGTTCCCTAAGGATCCGAGAAGCCACTTTTAAAAATAGCTTCTGGTGGAAGCTAAGATTTTAGGCTGGCAGCCATGGAAAGTGGCTTCTGGGTTTTGAACTCTAGAAGCTACAAAAAGTGGCTTCTGCAAATCAGCATGTGCATCTTTTTCCTTGGCACTACTGGGTGATACAAGGTGAAACATATTGTACCTATGGTTGCATGGCCTTCTTTCAGGCTGAAGCTGGACATCGGATTTGGGCCTTCTTCAGGCTGAGCTGGGCAAGTTGACACTCAGAGGGGGTGTGTCATTCATGAAACAAAGGAGGATTTTCTCTGCTTCACTGCTTGCATTTCTCTTCCCACCCCTTCTGAGTGCCCACTGCTGCATGGAGGATGCAAATGTTTCATCCCTATAATTCCAGAAATCCTTAGGGTTGTGGCCTTCCCAGGCTAAATCAAAAATATGCTCAGCCAAGTGCCACTTAGGCTTGGCATGCCAGGAACAAACATCATTTTCATCTTCTCTTTGAATGTGAGATTCCAATGCCATGTACTGGCTCTTCAATGCCCTTCCATATTTGGCCAGCTTCCTGCCATTGAAAGCTTCCATGTGCTGATAGACTTGGGTGATGAAGGTGGCAACTTTGTGGATTGCCTTTTGCAGGCTGGTGCCTGTGTCAAAATTGTGTGCACTTGTCAAAGTGCTCAAAATCCCCTGCCTGCAGAAATACCTGCATGTCGCTGCTTTAGTGTCAAGTTCAGGGGCCTTCCCAGGCTTTACAATGTCAAGCAGAGTGAGTTTGGGCAATTGCTCACTGGCTGGGACACCCAACTCTGAGTAGATAGTCTGGATATGTGCCCACAATCTGCTTGCTTTTTCTTGCTTCTTCCCTTCATAGCAGGGCAACAAAGCGTTCAAAACTTGCCCTGCACAGGCTGCACCACATCCTTCATCCATGACATGCATCCAATCAGGGACTATGGTGTGGTTGGTAATTGGGTTCACATGGAAAAGTGGTGCTATGGCCTTTTTTCTCAATTCCAGGCTTGCCAGAAATTGGGCCTTGTCCAGGCTTTGGCTCTTTCTCTGATCTAATGTTTGGCATCTCCACTCTGTTGGCTTGCAGGAGCACAGCCAACACATTCCTACTTTGACATTGTGCATAGGACAGCCATACCATTTTACATTCCAATCCCAATCTCCTCGCATCATAACTACAACAGCCTTGCACAGGCTTTTGCCAATTCTTGTCAATCGAAAAGGTTCTTCGAAAGGAGCCCCATCATGCCTTAATGCAGGCTGCATTCCCAATACCAAATGTTGCAGGCTCCAAGCAAGAACTTCCAAGATGGCCTGTGTGGTCTCTGGCCCTGCAATGAATTTGGCATCAACACAAGTAAGGGGGACTCTCAATTGTGAATGCCTTGAGGCCAAGAGGTTGACCGTGATGAAATCCAAGCTAGATTGATTCATTCTGCCTTGCACAGGCACTCCATCACCATGAATACCTAGAGGCACCATGCCTTGTGCAGGCTCACCACAATCTGCACAGCATTGGGCCAACTTTGTGGCCAGCATTGAGCCTCTTTCAGGCATACAATCTTGCCATGCTCCTGGCTGCATCAAATAGCCTTCCAACCACTCATGGGGAAGCAAGAATGGCAATGGCTTGGGTGATATTTCTTGTGTTTTTGGATTTTTTAATGGTATGTTTGCCCAATACAATTGACACCATGTGTTGTTTTTTTGAGCCACCTCCTCATCGACCTGGCTGCATTGCCACCTAGTGCAGCATCTTCATTGGCCTTGTTCAGGCTTTGGCTGGTTGGTGCTTTGACCCTGAGGCCACCAGCTTTGGCTTTGGTGAGCATTTTCACCACTTTTGTGGCTGGGAGCTGGTTTCTCCTATGCAAGGATTCAATTTCTTCGACCAATTCCTCTTGGTTTTTCAATTGGTCTTCTGCACTAGGAGAAGCCCAAACAGCCTCTGCCAAGCAAATCTTGGCTTTCTTCTTAGGTGATGCAAAGGCCTTATCCAGGCTTGACAACAGCAACCATAGGAAAAACTTGAAAGCACCCATGCTTGAGCTAAAGATGGCTGCAGATAAAAAAATATCAGACATCTAGAGCCACCAATTTTCATTAATTAGTCCCCTATTCTCCCCTACCCCCACCACCCAAGTCCAGCTCTTTTTTTCATCCTGCTGCCATCCAGCTGTACAGGCCTTGCACAGGCTGCTATCCAATGCCAGTGCTTGTTCAAAGCC